TTTTTTAGGTTTCAGTTTTTAAAAGGAAAGGAAAAAGGGAGTGTCAGTTAAAAGTTTGGCCAAACGAGTCAGAGTCTTTCAGAAATTTTTAGAATCTCCAGTATACTCTAATCATGATATGGAAATAACTTTAGGATGCCCCATGGGGTTATGATACGTCTTGGGAAGGAGAAGGAGCAGGTTCCTAGAGGGATCGTTTAGTGAAACCCTTTCATTGGTGAGAAGAAGAGGTTTAATGCAGCTCATAACCTACGGGGACGGGAGCTAATCAGTTTAAGGTTCAGGAAGAAGTCGAATATGTAGTACGTCGACATGCAATAGACAAAGAGTTACTACAAGTGGCGGCCAAAATCTATGGGGTCACAAGAATCGAGCGTAGGGCTACGACCCAAGGAGTAGGGGAGGTTAGACTTTCAGCAGCGCTATGTAACCAATAAGTGCAAGCTAGAGGATAAGGTATACGAGGGATTCCTACCGGAGGGTGATGCGTTCCGTGAAAGTCAAGAGTTCTGACGGAGGGGCACCCATGGTGAGGGTAGCCAACTTAGCCGAGGTACGAGGAGGGATTCGAGAGACCCTAAGGGTTACAGTGGTCATGGGAGGAAAATTCAAATGACACAAGGGGTATCATCGAACCAAGGTAGGCTAAGAGTAAGGACTTCGAAACTTGCCTAAGAAAAGTCGTCAAGCCAGTCGCGGTTAGACGAGGAAGTAGAATGTTCGAGAAAAGTTCTAATAAATAGTAGAGGAAGCAAGAAGGACCTTCGAGGAGGAAGGGTGCGGGCTACTGAATTGGGTTCGAGTCTCATAGTTAGAGCTAAGCATCGATAAAGGGGTTGTGAAAGTAAATGAAGTGTAAATCCCTATAGTAAAAGGATTACTACAGTAAGATTTTGAGGTAATGCAACGAACAAATTTTGAGGTCGAAATTTTTCTTAGGGAGAGGGAAATGTTATATCCCAACTAGCATCGTTCCTTCGAATACAGCATGAAATCGTTCAAGTGATTGCTCTACCGTTCAAATTTTGGGGACGAAATTTTTATAAGGGTGGAGGAAATGTAACACCCCGAATTTTGGGATTATGGTTCGACCATAATACGTGATCGGTTGGGTTGGCGGTTGCGTACTAAAAGTTGCAATCGCGGATGAGTAGTAATAATAATAATAATAATAATAATTATTATTATTATTATTATTATTTAAAAAAAAGTATATTTCCGACCTGGGGGGCCGAGCGGCCCCTTTCAATTAATCTGAATCATCGCCGCCCTTCCCCAGAGCCAAGCTCTCCAAATAAACCAAAACCCCAAACCCGCCAGTTCCCCAATTAAACCCTCGTCCCAATTATTCCCAAACCTCAGCGTCCCAATTGTTTTCCCCGCCCCATTCTTTTGTAGCAGCCACGCGAGAAAAAACCCAAACCCCAGCGCGAGAGACCCCCAAATCCCCGCCGCCTCTCAATTTCCCCGAAGAAGAAGAATCAACCGCCACCACCTGTGACCGACCCCGATCCCGATCCATTTCGTGTTTCTAGGTAAGGATCACGAACCCCTTCGTGGTTTCTAAACTCGATTCATCATTAGACTAATTCGAAGCTTGGGTTTTTATTAGCGGTGACTTTGAGGGTTCGATCAACCAGGAGATCAACATCTCCGGTCATCCAACCTAGGCCTAGGCACGTTCTAGAGGTAAGGGAACTCGATCCCTTTGAGTTAGATTGATCGATTTGGTGATTTTTCGTGAGTGTGCAATTCTGGGTTTTAGCAACAGGCGTTTCATGCTTTTAGTGACAGATTTTGGGTGGTCACTAAAGCTGCTAGGAATTTTCAGAAACGTATTTTTGAATGTTTGAATTGTTTCGTGTCTCTGTTGGCGTTTGTTCCTGGGTTTAATAATTTTATAAATTGAGGGAGATCTAGGAGAGGTCTGTAATTTAATTTGGGGATTTTGAAGAGTCTATTTTTAGAAATTGTTCGAATATTTGTTTTAATTAAATAAAAATATTTCCGAGGGGTTTTTAAGGGTTTGATAATTTTCCAGGGTATAGGGGATCATGATTGACATGGAAAAATTATTATCCTAATTTTTAAGAAGGTTCAAGTTAGGTGAAAAATTCGTCCAAGATAAAAATAATTAAGAAAAATAGTCGGTTTTGAAGGGATTAATTCTAGAAATTTGTAATGGGGGTTAAAGGACATTTGGAGTGAGGTTTGAGGAGGGGACTTTGAGTAGAGGGTGTTTAGGTAGATAAAAAGGAGGCTTTTAAATCGAGAAAGGTTGTCTTAGAGTATGAATTTCTTATTAATAGGTTTCCGGGGATAATCCGGCTAAGGAGGGTAAGAAGGCGAGAAAGTTAGCAGCCGATCGAACTTCGTAGTCTCGCGTGATGAAGAGGTTCACACCGATTAGTAGGAGGGGAAGAGTCGCGTCTATTAGAGGCGGAAGGAAGGCCGAGAACTCGACAACGATGATCGCAACTGGCGGGGGTAAAGTAATGGAGAGGCACCGACCCTATCCTCCTAGACGACCCGGGGTGTCGGCAGTTCGAATTTGGCCGTCGAATTGTGGGCCGAGGAGGGAGCTTGAAGAGAATGGCGACGGAGCTCCAATGGTTAGGGTCATTGGAGAGGAAGACGATGAACCGATAGAGGAGGAGCCAAAAGAGGAAAAACGCGCAGGGCTTGAGCTTGAGAATGCAGACGTTGATGCGACTAATGAGGTGAGTGTAAAGGGGGTAATATCTCAGTCGAGGTCTTTTAGTTTATGCTTTTCGTTCAAGTTATTATTTAGTTAAATTTTCTAGTATGCGCGATAATGTGTGTGAGGCATCCCACCGCCTGTAAGGGTGGAGGCACACGTTGTGCTATGTATGAATGTATGTGATGTTGTATGGATTGATGGTAAGAGGAACCCCCGGGCGGTTGGGCCACTACTAGACGCGGTAGATGGTCGGGTCACTGCTCGACGGTGAGACGTAACGCAGCAGTTGACCGAGTATGTTGGGTCACTACTGGACGGCGAGACGTAACACAGTAGTTGACGGACATGGACTAGACGGCGAGAAGTAACGTAGTGCCATTGTCGAGTTTGGATATGCAACCGGACGGCGAGACGTAACGCGGTTGGCATACTAGGGTAGGGACACCGGACAGCGAGACGTAACGCGGTGGTCCCTTGTGTTGGTGTCTTTGGATTAAGAGTATAAGTAAGAAGAATTCTAAAGATAAGATCGGAGTCGAGATCTCTTATAGACTGTTTGATAGTAAAGTATAAAGGATGAAAGTGAGAACGACTTTCGTCTAAGGAAGGCTCTCCCCTAATAATGTGTTTAGTAAGGAGTTTGCCTAGGGCAAAGACCTTAGGAAGTAACGACGAGACTGACCCCTTCTCACTCACCAGGTTGAGGATAGTCTAGCAGAGGTGAATCACGAGAAGAAGCAGGGTGAGGTGAGCAGCAGTACCAGCGTCGACGGGATATCGGAAAGCTCGCGAGGAGTCAAGTTAGATTAGTAAATTTTTTCTTCTATTTCATGATTATTAGTATAAACTGGAGATTTTGTGTTAAGTCGTTTTAAGTGTTTGAGATTGAGAATTTTGCCCAAGTGTTGGGGCTTTTCGTTAAAAAATTCTTAAAAGATGTCGGTTTGTTTATTTTAAAAGGTTGTTGGGTTGCTCCGGAGTAACTGGTTTTTGGTTTGAGTTACGGTTTGGTTTTCAAAAAAGGTTTGATCGACGGTTGTTGGGTTGTACCGTGAAAAACGGTTTGATCCATAATTAAACGTCCAAAAAAGTAAACCAAACCATTATTGTAACTGATTCGACGGTTCTATTGTCCTAACCATTTATCGATTTGATTCTTCTAACAATGAACTAAAACCTTGATAGATTTGATTTTTCTAATAATGAATTAAGACCTGACAACAGACAGACATACATATCATCATGAAGAACCACTAATACCACAGGCCAACGGGCTGGTCACTAAACTAGTTAGCTTATAGAGGCCACTCTTTAGACCTGATGTTTCATTTTGTTCCTACCGTTGATCATGCTTTTATGTACGGGTTGTTGTATAACGTTTAGGGGATTTCGGAATCCCAATTGGTTTTGAATGAAAGTTAGAATGCTATCTATTTATAATTTATAATATATAAAAAAACGTTCGCTTATTTACCTTTTTCTTGAATGATTTTCGTCAATGGGTCATTAGAACATTAATGTTTTTATCATTTTAGCCACGCAATTTTAGTTAAAATGTTTGGGCAGGCAGAAAGGCAGCTTTCAAGTCCAGAGGTTGCCAACACAACACGCAGCACAGCAACAGCGTGAATATATGGAAGATGAGAGAAGCACTCCAGGGGGCTAGAAAGGAATTGAGAGGAAGATAGAGAGAAAGAGAGAGACAGGCAGAGAGGGGAAAGAAAGTCGTAGGATTTGGGTAGTGATTCGGCGGAGTTAATCGGTGGGACAATCCAGCAGAGGCGAAGCGATTTGATGAATAAAGAAAATAAGAAAAGGATTCTTGGTGAGGAACTGAGGATAGATAGGCCCGGCGGTTGAGATTTCGATTGGGTTAGGGGACGGAAAGTAAATTTTGGAGCAAAAGGGCTTGGAGAAGAGCAGTGGAGAACGAGGAAGCCAAAGGCAGTGGCTTTGGAGCTTCGTCCTTTAGGGACGGAGGAAGGAGAAGTTTCTTGCCCGAGGACGATTTCTCAAGGAAGTTTGTCCACATCAGGATCGGAATCCTCCATCAGTTTACCAGGTCGGTGCTCCGAGTTGAAGTCTTGGGAAATCTTTTTCTTGAATCGATGATCTGCTGTTATGCCCATTTTCAGTTTTTAAGGGATAGTTTCTATTTCTTCTATGTATTGATGATCTTTTTCTGTTTGCTTTGGTAGGAATTCGCTCCTTGTGATTCGTCAGACAGTTCGTTCATAACATCCAGCAATCGATTTGTGCTTCTTAACTTGTATGATATATGGGCTGAGGTGCACATTTCATGGGAGGTGTAGAGGACGATGAACCAGCATCAAAACGTGTGAAATTAGCCTGTGGTGAGTTGAAAGGTAATCCAAACGGTTCTTTGCTATCAGAGCCAAGTGTTGGGTCTTCAAGAGACTTGATGGCCCGCCTCCTGCAATCTGAAGATGATGAGGAGGTCATTGGTTCAAAAGGAGTCATTAAAAAAGTTGAATTCGTCCAGATAATAGTGAAAGCCTTGTATTCTCTTGGATACAAGAAGAGCGGTGCCCATCTAGAAGAAGAGTCAGGCATACCCTTACATTCCTCTGCGGTGAATATGTTTATGAACCAGATTCTTGATGGCAATTGGGGTGGAAGTGTTGTTACATTGCGTAGCATTGGGTTAAAGGATGAAAGTACTATTAAGTCGGCATCTTTTCTGATATTGGAGCAGAAGTTTTTTGAGCTGTTGGATGCGGAAAAAGTCATGGATGCTCTGAAAACTTTGAGGACTGAAATTGCACCTTTGTGTGCTAGTAGCAATCAGCTTCGGGAACTTTCTTCCAGCCTTGTGTCTCTCTCACAGGGTCCTTCGGTGGGGTCTTCTAATCAGGCTAATCTGAGGGCCAAGTCTCGGCCAAAGCTGCTGCAGGAATTGCAAGAGCTTCTCCCCCCAACCGTTATGGTACCAGAAAGGCGGTTAGAGCAATTAGTTGAGCAGGCTCTTACCCTGCAGCGAGATGCATGTGTCTTCCACAACTCATTGGACAGAGAAATGTCATTGTACACCGATCATCAATGTGGAAGAGATCAGATTCCATCTAAAACACTACAGGTTTGAACATATTTACAGGAATTGTATCTTCTGTATGAACTATTTTTCCATCTCATACAATTAGTAAATGCAATGAGCTTTATAAGGCTACAGTTCCCCTCCTAGTTTCTTGGTACTGGAAATTAGATGTTAAACTGATCTAGGCTATGTGAATACATTTTGGAGATGTTTGCAGTTTGCACATTTATTAGAGGTGAAAGTAAAGCAGGTCTGTTTATGAATGTAGCTGTGGTGTCAACTGCAAATAAATCTTTGGGTTGTAGGCTATCTAAAGTTGGTCATAGTATTCCATTATTGGAATCATTTAACTGATAACATTCAGTGAGCTTGTTGACTTTTCTTTATATTGCATGCCTGGGCTGAGAAAGCTGCCCTGAGGTTTGGGATAGAGTTAGAGGAAAAGAACTCTTATGTTAGTCCCAAAACGAATTTCAAATATAAATAACTTGCACAAGTTTGATTCGATTCCGACAGCCGATCCCTTAACAAGGAACCTTCTTTTGACACCAGTTTCGAGCATGAGACATGCATACATTATTAAGACTAGAGATTCTTAGAATGTTAATTACAATCAGTAGTTTCAGTTTTGCAAAGGAATTGTTTTGGCAATTGCCCCTGCATATTTGTGATGTATCTTTTGTTCTACTGAAGACTAAAGTTAAAAAGATATAACCACAGTGAAGAAGGGCATGAGTGGTTAAGAAAGTACAGCCACAAACATTTTACAGTCAAGTTGTGTGGTCGTATATGCAGGGATAATACCCTCTACGTAAGGCTGTCGTTTTTCATGTAAAACATCCAGATCCATCTGTTTAATGTTTTCCTATTGCTGTATATAATATGTATGTTAAGCTAGTTCACTCTCTGCAGTAGACTATGGTTGTGTAATTTCAACCAAAAATTTGTATATGGATCAGAATAGGATTGATACTTTACTTGTCTGTTTGTTAGACTATTTAAATACTAATTATGTACATCTGCTTGCACAATTTCATTGAGCAGTTACCCTTATTTCCTTCTGGACAGATATTAGAAGCTCACTCTGATGAAGTCTGGTTCTTGAAATTTTCTCATAATGGGAAGTATTTGGCTTCCTCCTCTAATGATCGGTCAGCAATCATATGGGAGGTACAGATTATTTATTTTGGTGTTCGAAAATGTTTGGTGCATTTTTGTGGAGCTTTGCCCGTTGATGGTTTGGTGATGACTTCGTTTCATAAAGAAGTGTACATGTTGATATCGAACTTCATGTGTTTAATGAAGTCCAGTAGAGTCATCGCTTCTTCAAATGGATATTGAGAAGTTGTTCTGCTTTAGACAGTAAGCTTTTCTCTCGTTATTTATTAATTTCCTCTATGGAATGAGCTGATTAAGCAATAAAAGATCTCACGGGGCTACCCGTGTTGTATTAGGATGGAAAGTTATTTGCTTGGACAATGTTCACATTGTCACAATATTTTGTGGTAGATCATGGTCAAGGAAATTCATCGGTCACAAGGCAAAACATATCTTTGGAAGCAGTTGTTTCTGAATCTCCTTAAGCTAAATTAGGACCATCATATGTTAGTCATTTGCTGATGTTTAATGTCTGTATCTGTTTATGAGCTCTACTTACTGTGTAGCCTGCAGCAGCCATGCACAATAGCTTTATGCTTTTCAATCCTTGTTCTTGTGATGTTTCTGTCTTCCTTGTTTAGTACTAATGTTATTTTGCCTTATTTTTTACCAGGTCAGTGCAAATGGTGATGTTTCTTTAAAGCATAAACTTTCTGGCCATCATAAACCCGTATCCTCTGTTTCATGGAGTTCTGATGATCATAAACTCCTCACTTGTGGTGTTGAGGAGTCTGTTAGATGCTGGGATGTTGCATCTGGTGAATGCCTCCATGTTTATGAGAAAGCTGGGGTTGGCCTAGTTTCATGTGGATGGTCCCCAGATGGGAAATGGATATTTTCTGGTGTTAATGATAGGAGCATTAGCGTGTGGGGATTGGATGGGAAGGAGATAGAGTGTTGGAAAGGTCAACGAACTCTCAGAATTTCAGATTTGGAAATCACTAGTGACGGAAAGGAGATTATGTCCATATCCAAGGAAACTGCAATTCTCATACTTGATAGGGAAGCAAAGTCTGAGAGAGTGATTGAGGAGGACCAAACCATAACTTCATTCTCGTTGTCAAGGGATAATAGGTACTTGTTGGTTAACCTTGTGGGTCAGGAAATCCATCTGTGGAACATAGATGGTGATATCAATCTTGTTGCCAAGTACAAAGGTCACAAGCGTACCCGATTTGTCATCAAATCCTGTTTTGGAGGATCTGAACAAGCTTTTATTGCCAGTGGCAGTGAAGACTCACAGGTATGAAATTTCACGCTTGCTTTACGCACACACTTGTTTATTTTAATCATAAGTAGCTTGTCATTAGTTTAGAGCAACTTCCTTTTTCTTTACCGGTCATCATACTCCATGCTTATCGATGTTATGAACGTGAGGTTCTTTTAACTTCCGATTAACTTGTGTAAAAAAGAAGTGTTTATGTCTGGCAAGGATGTTAAGAATGTGGAATCTTTTACTTTCTTTCAAGAGAAGTATTTTGGTGAGGAATGCAGGCTCTCTTTGTCTACAGAGCCTGCTGTTGTAGATTAGAAGGGGGTGCAATTAGAGCCTGGAAGTTTTCTGCATTTTGTGAAGCATCATTGTCAGAGTCGTCCTTATCAGCATAATAATCGCTGGGATTTTTATTTATGTTCATGTTGATGATTTTCCAGGTATATATATGGCATAGAGGATCAGGGGAGCTGATAGGGACATTGCCAGGGCATTCGGGATCCGTAAACTGCGTCAGCTGGAATCCTGTGAATCCACACATGTTGGCATCAGCCAGTGATGATGGTACGATTCGAATATGGGGCTTAAACAGTCATCTGCAGCAGCAAAAGAAGCAGCAGCAGGTTCACAGCAATGGTGGTTCTATAGCTGCTGCCTGCAATGGGAGAACTTGAACAAGACAAAGATGAAAAGAAGGCCAACTCTCTTAGAATCCCTTCACTTTGCTTTCCACCTTCACCAATGGTTTCATGTACAAGTTGTTACCTTTCTTCCTTTGTCCCTTGTTTTTCAGTTTTACAATCTTTGGCACTGGACATTCGTGTCAGAACCTGAACATAATCATCCTTATTAATGGGAAGGGTTTAGAAAGACAGACTCGGATTATAAATATTCGGTCTCTCCCGTGCTCAGAAGTTTTCGGCTGATGTTTGGGTTTCTGGCTTAACTCGTTCATGAAGTGGCGTTCTATCCTTGACAATAAACTGTAGGCCTCGGGTGGCAGTCTGGCAGAAGAGAGTATGGTAGCAGACTAAAAAGAAAATTGGAAAATCACAATATGGTAGCAGTGTACGCGTCACACACGAATCTACATTATTAAGAGGTGCTTAGTGATGGGAGGTATGGTGACAACACCCTCTCCAAGTCATCTTTACCATTCAAGTTTCATAGGGTCTTTCTGTCTAGGTGTAGGTAGTCGCATCTTCACAGACATATCTATTTCACCGAGCCTCTCTCCGAGACAGTGCCCATATCGTTACGCCTTTCGTGCGGGTCGGAATTTACCCGACAAGAAATTTCGTTACCTTAGAACCGTTATAGTTACGGTTGTGTTGACAACATTAGTGTTAAAACGCTAGATTGTGCTTCTTTTGTCACATATCAGGTCCTAGTACATGTGGGAAGGTTGGGGACGAGTTTGGGGTCATTCGGAGGTCAAAACGAGCCAAAAAGTAGAGCATGTGTAAGGTTCATGGGCAGGAGGCAATTATCACGCCCTAGGGGAGTCAAACCCCCAGACCGTGAAGTTTGCAAATTCCAGCAGTTATAGTGCATCTCTCAAGCTATGCAAACTTCACAGTCTAACACCGTAAAAATCATCTTGTGACCGTGAAAATAGTTCAAAATGGTGTGTTTTCAGCCGAGATCACCGTTTGCTTGCTAATATCATGGCCGTGAACAGTGACGGTGAAGTCTGCACTGTTGGGCATAGTGTCAAATGTCTGATCTCCCGGATGTTGTTGGTAGTCAATTTTCCTTGAGCTGCCATCTAGAAGAAAACACGCACTCTCTCAGGTACTTGGAGCTTCCAAATGCGCTTCCGGAGTGAGTGATCTTGCGTAGATTGGTGTCCTTGGCTTGCTTTGAAAGCAGAGCTGACCGTGAAGTGTCCATTTGCCGTCAAGCTACAAAAAATTTGATCTCCTTCCACCGCTAGTGGATCGACAATGGTAACTCTGATTCTATCCACCAAATGCTGCAGCAGAAGGTCTTGAGACTCGTGGACTCTCCATCCGTACCCGGCTCCATCCCACATATCAGCAACATTCTTATGTTTAGGCTCTTCCGGAACCTCAGCAGTTGCAAGCTCAATGAGTGGTACCTGCTCAATCCATGGTGCAAGCTAGAAAAAGTGCTTCTCCCATTCTTAATGTTAAAAGAAAAACCCTTTTTGATGACATTGATAGTAGAAGCAAAGCTTCTCCAAGCTAGTGAACTTCCCTTGATTTTTTTTAAGAATAGCAAGTCCATCTCTGTTGTGTCCATCTTTGTCCAACAGAGTTTTGCTCCACAATGAGTCTTCCTTAGTTATATAAGCTTTCAGCACCCTTTAGCAAGCATTGTCTGGTTTGCTAATTTGGTAGGCCAATTGCCGACAATCCCTTGATTACGAGGTAGAGTCAATTAGTCACAAGCAACGAGATGAAACTTGGCTTTCCCTTCCTCTCCCCCGGGCCCATGTTGATTTTGTCAAGCGACCTGCACACAGAAGCTGGAAGCAATTTCGAAACATAAGGTAAACAACCATCGAAGAAGCAATTGATCTCACCATTGTCATCCCGACAACGAGGGAGAGGTGTCTTGTTTTCCAGAAAGCAAGCTTGTTAAGGATACGTAGACCCAGTTCCTTGTATGTACCCTTGGTGACCCAATCACGAAGTGCGATAAGGCCTAGATATTTCCCCAGATCAGCCGTGCAAGGAATGTTGGCTTTGTTGTTGAGCCGTTGAGATTTCTCTGGCCTAATGTTCGGAGAAACAAACATCACAGCCTTGTGCAGGTTAACTCTCTGTCCTGAACTAGCGCAGAATTCATCCAAACATTTACGAATGACATCAATATGCTTGTTTCCTGCTTCTACAAACAAAATTAGATCTATCTGCGGAAAAAAGGTGAGATAATTTAGGGCCATTGGGAGTAAGCGACAAGGGTTTTCACTCTTTTTTAGCAACAGCTAGCTCAATACGATAAACTAGCCTCTCCATGCATAGCATGAAGAGATACAGTGATGTGGGTCTACCTGTTTGGTACCTCGAGAAGGTGTTATCACGTTTGTAAGTTTTCTGTTCAATTAATCCTCATTATGTTCCTTTACACAGAGCATAATCATGTTGATCAATGTGCTTGGGAGGTCGATCTCAATCAGAGTGTCCATAATGAATTCCCATCTAAGCATTTTGTCTTGATGATTCCCGACCTTTCCTTTTCCTTTATGAAGCCATAAATGGACCACTTAATATGAAAAATAATTACATTGTTAATGATGATCACATATAAACTATTAAACCTATGAAAATATTACTTTTTCTTATAACTTCTGCTTATTATATAGAAGCCACCATTGTTGAAAGAAATTATTCCTGCAATCTCATTACATACCCACTTATAATAATAGCATTGGGCCCCGCCCGTTGGTCGGGGTTATTAATAATTGTAGCACAATCTAAAGGTTATGATTATGCTTAACCATTTTATTGATTAAAAAATTTATTTTGTGGAAAACAACAAACACAAATAGTATATATATACTATGCTATCATCTGATAAAAATATTCATTTTAGATTTCAGTTCGATGAAGCATACTACTAACCAATAAGTAGTTGTTTTAATATAATCACCTATTGGTATAATTATACAAAAGTCTAATCCTCCAAATTGATCTGCAAAGAGAGACATGAACATGGTAGAAAGAAGAAAAAACACCAACAATGATAGTATAAAAAAAGCAAACCTTCTCACGCCCTTTTCATTTGTAGCATACAAAATGGCTAAATCCTTCAATAGTTGCGGTGTCATTCTTTTTTCTTGATTAATATGGTCGTAACTAGAAACCCTTTTCCCGTCCCGAAACTCCAAATTTATAGGCTCGCCGCTCAAGTAGACCCATGCTCCTAAGAGCCAGAAAATCGGAGCACTCATAGAGATTGTGTTCTCTTTCATTCCGGTGATAATCTTTGACTATCGCGCTAGAATATAGTGAGAGCAATGACGAAAACCCCGTTAGACCCACAATCATTTGCATACCCAAAACTCTGGATATATAGGTTCAACGCTCACATAATCCTAGGCCCATATACCAAGGAACTAAAAAATTGAAACCAAACTTCTATTGATAAGTAATTTGATCATCTGTTGATAGTATTTTTATTACTTATGAATTGCGAATAAATTTGTACTTTCTTGCTATTTTGTTCATTATTAAACATCAAAGGTAGATCGTTTGAAAAAAAATTGCAAACTTATTTTAAAGTGCCAACTTATTATTAAAATTGTGTTACTACTTTTATTAATTATGTATTGAGAAATAAGATTTATTTTTATGTTTGATTCAATATTAGTCTGTATTGTGATTGTTTTGGTGATTATCAAATTTTGAGCATTGGAAATTTTGATTTTTTGGCCAAATATTAATTTCCAATCATCAAGTAAGACTTTCCATAATTACATCAACCTATAACTACTATTTAATTAATCATAGCTATCTTTCCTAAATTATGTTTAAAAATAATGAGCAATTCTTATTATAAAAAAATTACCGAAAAAAATTCTTATTATAAAAATAAGAAAAGAGGAAGGATAATTAATAACATTTTAGTATAAATATCTTAATAATTATTAATTATCATTACAAACAAAAACCTATTCACCTCCCTCAAATTGTCTTTTACCTCATCCCACTCTGCAGAAAAAGGATCCCTCTCTCCCTTCTTTTATATCTTCCTCTCACAATAATGAGCAATCCCAGAGTTATATATCTTATAGTGGCGGACATTGGGATAGACGGTTGTAAAAAACAAAAACAAAATAAAGTTTGTGAAAGAAATAAAATCGCAGCAGGCGAAGAGTGCAGGACGGAATGACAAATTAATCCTTCCGAAAAGTGCGGTTTAAGCGGCACAGGCTGAGGTGGCAGTCACGTTATGTTGGCTTATATGTTTTTGTAGACATGTATGGAAGGAAGACAAGCAAGATTTTCTCTCTCTCCCTTTTGTTCAACTTACCCGCCATAGGCTATCAATGGGATGAAATACATGGGTTTTATGTACGTAGGTTGGGGGACTAGGTAATGTAAATGAGATGTATGGGAATGGATGTCCTCTCTAACTTGGTCCAAAATGGACGAAGTATTGTCCGACTACCAAAGGTAAAAATAATTATGAACGGTTGTAAAATTGTTGTTTCTAATGTCGAGGCTTGATTCCAAGCTATTCCATACCATTTACCAACTAGCACAATTCTCCGCCTATTGTCCTGCAAAGTTTGATGGTTATATAATGTGTATGTCATTTACAGTAATGATGTGTGCTTTGTTTGATATTTGACCTTCAACTATTTAGACAAATACTCAAAATACTTCGAGTATGCTTAGAACGTATTAAAAACATGAGAAAATAAAAAATACTCTAACAAAGAAATGCATCTAATGGTGACATATGTTTATAAACAAAGTATTGTCTGTATAAACAGTCCATACATTGTACTTTGATGGAGTTCAATGTATCCATGGGAATTAGTGAGATATATTTTTGGATTTTTAATATTTTTAATGGGAATGGGTGATATGAATTTAACTCTTTATTATAACAAATGATTACAAATCATTGTCACAAAATTGTTCTTTAATGTTTTCATTCATTACTCTATGATAACACTCCATTTTATAGTGTTTATTACTCCCATATTTGATACATTTTCCCTTCTATCAATGCATCTTTAGAAGTTTTTACTTGAATTCATGTGGAAATCATAATTATTTGATCAATATGCTATTATTAGACCTAGATTGTGTTTTTGTATCTTTTTATGACTTTTTGGAATGCTTATGTGCTTTTCAAGGTAAAACACAACCTAGAACACTTTTGATTGAACTTTGGATGATTATCGAGGATCAATGGAGCATGTTTGAGAAGATCAAGGGAGTTTTCACCTATTATATGAAGCCTAAACGAGACGAAGTCTTCTG